CCCACCACCATTGCTCTTTTCAGGGTCTCCAGGAACCTCTATACTGCTGGGTAAGATTGCTAGTTATCAGCCATCTGACTCGACTTCACAACACTTGGCCCCGTTGGTAACTCTCGCTTCCTTAAAATGCTCTCCTCACTCGGCTTCTGGGACACAGCAGTCTCTCACTTCTCCACCTACCTCACTGGCTGTTCTTTCTCAATTTCCATTACTCGATTCCTCTCTTCTCCCAAGACCTCCACGTGTCAGAATGACTCAGGATCAGCCTGAGTTCTTTCCTTCTAGATGAGCTCAAAATCTAGATCAGCTCCTCCGTGTGGCTTCAAACGCCATCTCTTACATGCTGAGGTCACACATTTGTGAACTTTGCTCCAACTTCCCTCTGAGCCTGTTGTAGCTGATGCCCCCTTGACAATCCTTTGGGTGTCTAATTAGCACCTCAAGCTTATTCTTGACTTTTCATCCCCTCGAACCTACTGATTCCTCAATTTGCCCCATCTTGTAAAAAATCACCACGATTCACTCCGTTTCTTGGCCCCCCAAATCTCGGAGTTGTTCTTGAGTTTCCTAATTTCCTCACAGTTCCCATTCATCCCACAAGCAGGTCTGTTGGGCCTACTTCTAAAATCAGTTCCCGACGTGACCACGCCTCACCACCTCCCCGAGACTGGCTAGCCTGAGCATTCATCCTCTCTCCCCGGGGTGGTTTTCTCTTCCTAACTGGCCTTTGTTTCCTTCCTTGTCCTTCTCTTGTCTTCTATGTAGCAGCCAGAATAATCTTTTAAAATATAAAGCCAAAATCTACTCAATGACTTCCCAAAATAAAATCCAAAGTCCATGCTATGGCCCATGGTTTCTACAGGATCTGGTCCTTGCCCATCGCCCCGACCTCACCCTTCATCACTCTCTCTTGCTCCCACTTCACGCGAACACGGGCCTTCTTCCAGCTCCTCAGTCGCATCACACTCATTTCCTCCCCGGGATTCCAACGCACACTGCCCCCTTCACCTAGATCACGTTTTCTATAGCCCTTGGCATGAATTAAATCATTTAGAACTTAACTCAAAAGTCGTCTTAGGAGAGGCCTCTCTATCTCCATATGTTCTTGGTCCACAAACACCCCATCACCTAAATTTGATTTCTTTTACTTAAAATTGTAATGTTTGTTTGTATAGTTGTTTGTTCTCTCCACTCTACTGTGAGCTCCATAATGGCAGAGCTTCTGTCTGCCTCATTCATTTTTGTATATATTCATCGTCATACTAGTGCCTGGCACATAGTGAGTACTCATCGTGTTTTTGTAGGATGAATGAATAGATGAATGGATGAATATAGGGCAAAGAATTTAGACTAGACCATCAAATGCCAAGACTCTGTTTGAATCCTTGACTTCTCTGCACTAAATTTTGTCATGGTCAGTTAGACTTTCAGCAGTAATCTTAACCTGACCCTTTACTTTTGCTGGTCACTGTTTGAGATCCAGGGATATTCTGGATGGGTTGTCTGATAAAGTCCTTTATGTTAGAGGAGTGTGTGGGAAAATCCACTTGAGAAAGGAATTTAAATGTTTTCACTGCTCATGTTTGGAGAAATCTGGTTTTGTTTAAGAAGCTGGTGATGTGGTCTATCAGAACAAGGGAAGGCATTTGACCCCAAATAAAGCCTTAGATTCCAGAGGAGAATGGAAATACTGAATAATAATCATGCCCATTATGACCAGAGCAGAAGACACACCACCTATTATGCCCAGCGACCTTGTGGAGTGAACAGTGGAAGTGGTCAGCTCCTGAGTACAGGTAATGAGGGTTCCTAGAAACAGGGAAGAAACTTCTTTCTGATGGAGCCAAGGGCTTGTATAATTCAGTGTTATAGGGGAAATGGAAAATCAAATGGTAGTATTTTCCACTATTGAAAAAAGCTTTTTGAGGGCATGATGAAGTTAATGAAGCCATTGCTCATATATGTTTCTGCTGAGACCTCCACCTCTCTTATCTTTATTGTGGGAGCCAACCCCTGGATGCATTCTCAGAGACACTTGATCCACTGACCTGTAGGAGAGGCCCAGAATTTTCTCGCTGTGTCTGCAGAAGAATGAATCCTCTGCTTGGGACCCTTTACATCCTGGGGATGCTGGTCCCTGGAGGGCTGGGATATGACAGGTGAGTGGGAAGTGGGAAGAGGGGTTGACCATTATGATTTAGATTGTCCAACTGGGAAACTTTATACATGATAAATGCAGCTGGATTCTCCCCTCTTCCTACCTCAACACACCACCATGAGATGAGAATAATAAAGATTACTAAACTTTTCATTATTAAACATTACTCTAATAATCTTTGAATGAATACATATCTAATAAACATTTCTTAGCATAATGTATGCTATCATGTTTTGTGATTGAAAATTGAAAATGATAGTAAAAGTTCGATGTCCCTCATTTACATAGTTTCTCATTAGTAAACTACATTATTCTAATGATCAAGAAAAATGCTTAACATGTCTAAAACTACCAATAATTTCACCAAGAGATAATTACTGTTAATATTTCTGAATAGCTAGATAGCTAGCTAATTATGTATATAACACTATTGCCAAAATTTTTCAGTTAAATCATATGATAAAAATTTTCCTAAGATATTTATAATTCATTTAAACACATTGAAATTGCTAATATTATTCCATCATTGTTACCTTATAGGGTATTGATTTGATTTCTACTTTGTCATTTCCACAAATAATACCATTATAAGCATAAACTACAGCAATAATTTTTTTTACAAAATTTTGATTATTTTCTTAATATAAGTGGTAAAAATTGTAATTACTGAGTCAGGAGCTGAGAAAATTTTAGGAATCTTGCTGCATATGCCAAGTTGCCTTCTAGAAAAGTTGTATCAGTCTACACATCCAACAACAGTGTGTGAAAGTACTTTTTAAGTGTTTGCCAATTTGATAAGTGAAAAATACCAACAGATGACTTGTTTTGCATTTTGTTGATTTTTAATAAGGTTAAATATTTTGTCTTGTTTATTATTCATTTTATTAGTTTATAAATTATGCATTCATGCTAATTTCTGTGTTCTTTCTTTATGCATTATAAATCATAACTTCTGCAAATATATAATATTTTTTAACTCTGTGAGTGTGTTTTTTGTGTGTGTAGTATAGTTTCCATATAAAGTATTATTTCCCTTGTTCATACATAACTCAGTATTTTGCTCATTTGGTATATCTCATCAAGCATGTGTAGTTATAAAGTGTTTCCTCTTTTCTTTCATGGTTCAAAGAATCTTGCAACAAACCTACTCTTACAGAACAAGATTTTTGCCCAGACCAGCTGTGTAACCTCAACTTGTTCCTTAGCTTCACAGATAGCCTGATTTCAGATATAAAATGAGAATCCAGGATTTTTTGTGATGTCAAAACTTGTTTGAACATTGCTTTCTCATTTTTTCCATTAGTTTACTTCATTTCATAGAGATACTGCATTTATCTTCCCTTCTAAGATTATTCATTTATAAATTAGAGACAAAGACTCTTACAGACTCTTCTTAAAAATATCAAGAGCCTTAAAACTTACACATTTGTTGACCTAGTATTCCTGCTTCTGAAAATCTAGACTGAGGAAATAAACAAAAATATGGAAGGAATTTAAGCACTGAGAAGCAGCCCCACTTACAACATAAATATTATATTAAGTATTATAATATTTGGAAACAACCTAAATATACCATATTAGGTTATGTAAATACTGACATATATAATAATGAAATATTCATCCTTTAGAATAATGATTATGAAAAAATGTTAGTAGTATGGGAAAATGCATGATTTGTGCTAAAGGAAGGATGCAGAATACAAAATGCAATGAAACATTTAGAAAAATATAAGAAAAAATATGGTAATTTTTACCTTTGTTGGTGATTTTTCTTCTTTTCCTCAATTATTCTTCATTTTGCAAATATTCTACAATGAAGATGCATTCAACTTTTTATTTAAAATAATGATAGCAGCACTGGCTGGTGTGGCTAAGTGGTTAGAGCACTGGCCTGCACATGAAGGGTTACAGGTTCGATTCCCAGTCAGGGGCAAGTACCTGGGTTGCAGGTTTGATCCCTGGTGCCTTGCATGCAGGAGGCAACCAATCGATGTCTCTCTCACATTGATGTTTCTCTCTCTGTCTCACTCCCCCCCCTTCCACTCTTTCTAAAAATCAATGGAAAAAATATCCTTGGATGAGTATTAACAAAAAAAAATAATAATAACAAACAAAATAAAATAATGATAGCCAAGCGCAGGCTAAATTAGGGCAGTGATCCTGCTCAGGCAGTGGGACTCAGAGGAGACAGCTTCCATTGGACAGCTCCTGTGACTACACTTGAGGAAAACATTTCAAATCTGCTACCTTGATCCTAATGGGCTGTTTTTATTTTCATTCCTATTTACTGACATAAAATAATGTCCATTTTTATATGGCTCTTACCAACTCAAAATATAGATTAGCTGCCATTGTTTATACTCTATTCCCTATGAGTGATGTTATGATAGTGTACAAAGTCTGCAATTAACAAAGATCACGAGCTTTGCCATCTTTCTCTGGAGACGATCTCATATATATCCCATCCTCCCAATAAAAGTATGAGTCTGTAGAATCATTTGGGACTTAGCAGTAGAATCAAATGCCTAGAAAATGCTCATTCTCTTTGACCTACTGATTCTTCTTCTGGAATGTAGCTCAAAGAAACAATCAGAAGTGAGCAAAAAGACTTCCGCAGCCCAGCCAGTGTAGCTGTTGGCTGAGCATCGATGGTCCCAGGCACCAAGAGGTCACCGATTCGATTTCGGTCGGGGCACATGCCCGGGTTGTGGGCTCGATGCCCAGTAGGGGGCGTGCAGGAGGCAGGCAACTGATGTCTCTCATCACTGTTTCTATCTCTTTCTTCCTCTCCTTTCTTCTCTCTGAAATCAATAAAAATGTATTTAAAACAAAAAAGATTTATGCAAAAAGTCAGTAAGTCCAGAATTATTTCCACTAGCAAAAAACAAAAAAGGGAAATAGCTTTAATATCCAGCACCGATGGTAACATTTAAATAAATGACAGTGTGTAATATATCCTTACAATTAAATATTAGTCAGTCATTAAATATAATGTTTCTAAGGAGTTTTTATGTGTTGGAGGAATGTCTCTGGTAGAATACAGGGTACAAAGGAGTAAATACGAAATTTAAATATAGATATAATCTGTACTGTGATAAAGAAAAAATATGCACAGATAACAGACTGACAGGAAAAATGCCAAAATAGCAACAGTGCTTAACTCAGGGAGATGGGATTATTGAAGATTATTTTTTCTCTCCTCTGTCTTTGCCCTTTTTCTTCTCTCTGCACTCGCTAAATTTTCCAGTATAAGCATATGTTAATTTTAAAGCAGGAAAAAAAAGGTTTGCAGTTACTTTGCTGTCATGAACTACTGAGGAAACCATTTCTTACTAAGTACGTAAAATTCAAAATTTGCCTCAATATTCATCAGGGGGTTTTGCTGCTGTTGTTGTTTTGGCTTCTTTGCAGATCCCAGTCAAAATTTCCTCAGCCCCCTTTGATCGTCAGTGCGTATTAATAATGTACCCCCAGGATCATTTCCTCCCTTCGACGTTTTGTGAATTCTTATTCAGAAAGAATGCACGAAGTACAATCATCGTTTCCCCTGATAGTGCGGCGAGAATGGCGGTAAGCCGGGGGCTGGCGCCCCTCCCGTCCCCCGCCACGGGTCGCGCCCGCCAAGGACTGTGCAGAAACAGAGCCGCCTTCCCCGAGGCTGTGCTGCACACATGCCCGGGCGACGCACCGCACGGTGCGGCTCACGCACTGTTTCATTTCATGCAAAAATGCTACGGCTTTCAATGCCCGAGAGCCTCGCTCAGATTCCAGGCAGTTCACCTTTCTGCGCATGACGTGGGCTCGGGAGACCACACGCACAGTTAGCAGACGGGCGCCGGGGAGGAGCCAGATGTCGGTGCCTGGGGGTGTCCGGGGACCTTTCATTTGCCCCCTTCTGGGCTGTGACAGTGCCGGGAATGCTAGCCCAGCGGGGACAGGAATTGGCCGGGGGCCAGCCCTGCTTTCAGGGTTCCCCTCTCCGGCCGCTGAGGAGCTAACTGACAAAGCGGCACCCAAATGTGTGCTGAGCTGTGCGAAGGAAGACGCAGGTGGCCCTCGCAGTGGCCATCCCGGGCCCATGGCTACGGTGAAAGCATTGCCAGGTCTCCTTTCCCAGCAGGGCGTGACAGGCAGGACAGCCAGGGCAGGAGTGAGGCAAAGGGAGGAGCGACAAGATAGCCTTCCATTTGCTTCATTCCCCCTGCTCTCCCCATTCAAAGAAAAGCACTAAAATCATTCTCTAGTGACCTTATAATGCAAATACCATTTTGCTCTTGTTGTATTGCAAATCGGAGATACACAATTTTAAAAAATAGACTAGTAAATGTCTTATGCCTGTTTTCTTGGATATAATAAAAGTATAATATAGCGCATGTAACAAAATCTTCAGAAAAAAATAACCTGGGATAACAGTATTTACCTTAAGGAGATAAATGGCTTTTATCTCCCAGATGTCGTGCAGTGCTTTCTAAGACCTTTTTCATGCACCTTTCAACCCTCGTGAGATCCCAGTTTCTTCACTGCTTTTTGTCTGCCTTTCTTCCTTTTGCAGATTGGGAACAACACAGCACAGGCAAAGGGTTGTGGACAAGACAGTGACTGCATGGAGGAACTTGGAGTCCTATCCCTGTAACAGATACCACCCCATGGGGGAGGTGAGCAAGGGTACATGGTGACATTGGTGGTGGGCACAGCCTAGTTTAGGATGCGTTGACTAGAGAGGCTCAAAATAGGAAATGGAGATTTGCCTGGACACTGAGGTCAAGGAATTCCCAAACTTTACCACCCCCACCCAGACCACCACCATTGAAGCTACAGATCCTGATACTATGAAATAAAGAGGCAAATCAACAACAGAAAGAAAAGAACACCCCACCCAGTTTTGCTGGTGTGACATGGACCAGAATTAACCCTTACTCTTGTTTATCAAGTTCTTAACCAGTTTAAGCAAGGTAGGGCCAATGTGTATATGGGTGTGGGATGTGGGGTAGAGAAGTCTTCTGACTCATGTTTAGCTGAAAATGTGATATTTCTTGTAGTACACAAGAGACAGGCTCAGCAGTTCTTAAGAGAAGAAAACTTTTTTCAAAGAAATATTTGTATTGCTACTGAGATAAGTTTGGTGATTTCCAAAACTAGTTACAGTAAAAAATTAGCTACTATATATGCAAATAAGTGTGTGTGTGAGCAGGAGATGGGGGAGTTGCTCTCCAAACAGGCTTTACCACTTATTTTCTCAATATTTTGGAATATGTTAATATTTTCCGGAATTTTTTTTCATATAGCACAAGAAAGGTTTTAAAATATGGGAGGTATCTTATCACATCCTGATGACTGTTTAATATCTTATGTTTGTGAATTCCAGTCACTTTTGTAGAACACTACATTATTGACTTACAGGCAAAAATGTAAGACAAGGCCTTCTTTTCTAAGCATGGTATAAGACTTGTAACTAAATCAACACCCATTCAGGTCTGTCTAGTTTTAACAAAAATAATTGACTTAAGCTTGATTTAGAAACTTCTTTTGGCATATTCTACGAAGGGCTTACCCAACTCTTCTCTAAACTTGGAACCATGGATATTAGCAAAGGATATTGTTGAGATTTATAAAGACAGAAGAAAATCCCACAAAATAAGCCTGACCTTAAATTCCTGGCATGATTGGGTGTCACATAGGAGCTAAGTCTGGTGGCCCTTTGAAGGATATGTTGTTGTATAATGTTTCTGAAGTATTATCAGTGGAAATTATTAATTCTCAGTAACTTCTTTGTAAAGTTCAACAGGGTATCCTAAGACTTATGGCAGAGTAATGCTTTAAAGAAAATGGGAGGGGGTGGGTAACAATTTATTGGTTTTGTTTTCTAGCTTGTTTAGCACATAGCTGGTGCAATGTAGAGCAAAGGATACAGAATTCAGTATCTTAATGAAAGAAGTAGTTATCTTAATTAGAGTTGAGCAAACAATCTTTGATTGATAGCTGCAGCCCTCTCTGGCTGTTTCAGATCTATCAGTGGGTGAACCGGGTAAGGGAGAAGTACAGCATTCCCTAGGACTGACCTATGAAGCCCATGTATTGTTTGAAGGTGGGTGAGGCTGAGAATTGTCTTGCTGGGGAAGTGGGGTCTCTCCCATGGAATCCAGGGATATGTGTTTACTGTTCAGGGGCTCTAGTCAGAAATGTAGACAAGGTTAAAGGAAGCAGTGCAGAAAGACTGCCTTTTCTACCCCAAACTGGGCTTTTAAAATTCAAAACTTGCAAAGGCTTACACATTAATTATCTGGGTGGAATCAAGTACTAGAGTAAAGAGAATTTGGAATAGTTGGGTGGGACCATGGGGTAGCACTTAAAAATCATAATATCCAGAAATAGAAGAGTTTATTCCTGTGTTGTCTCCAGGGTGGGCCTCCCTCATCCCCACTAAGACTGAGGACCTTAGAATCGTGTATGATGGAGCAGGACAGGACCTTAGACATTCTGGTTGAGTGGCTGGCTCTGCGAAGGCCTGGGTGCCTCCATTGCTTGCATAGAAGTGGGAGACGATGGACTCTGTAAGGGAAAATCCCCCACTCACATGTCAACTATAGCCCATTCACTTTTCATGTGTATTTTGAGTTTTTAAAATAAATATATAGTGTTCTTTTTAAAAGCATTTAAAAATCATAGACAACCTTCAGTTTTGGTTCTTTCATTTTATGATTGAGGCAACCAAAGCCCAGAAAAGTGAAGTAACTTGTACAATGTCACACAGCCAGGTAATACCATAACCGTGGGGTAACGCAATCTCCAGCCTTGGTAGGAGACATGGGGACTCAGCATGTGGTTCTAAGCACAACAGCCAAGGTCACAGATAAGAGAGCAAGAGTAGCCCAGGAAGGGTGATATTGGTGCATATCTCTGCCAGCTTCCTTGCCTCATGCTTGAAACCACACAGTGGAATAAGAAAGGAACCTCTAGGGGAATAAAAAACCTGTTAACTGCATAGTGGCTCACAATAATAATTGATTGTTTGGTAATGGAGCATGCATGTTCCCTCCAGATCAGCCAACCATCCAGTAACCCCAAGAAGATCATTTGGGTGGACTGTGAATTGATGCCAGGGAATGGATTGCCCCTGCCTTTTGCCAATGGTTTGTGAAAGAAGTGTCTTTAGCTTCCTCATAATGGTTAACCACCCCACAAAATACCTGTCACGTCTTGGCTATGTAGAAAGCCTGCTTCATTCACATGTTGGCATGGCAACTCTCTATTGAGCACTCCTTCTCCCCATGGGAAATGGAATTAATAAGCACCTTCACTGAAAAGTGAGGTATTCTGATCTCTTTCCAGTGCATTCAACATTATTTTTATTGGAAGACAAACATATTTAAATGTAAAAGAAAATACATCTTGGAAGTCATCAATAAGAGAATCCTGGCTCTCCCTTTTTCAAATAGTGCTGGGCAAATTTTCTAATACTAGAACACTTCGTTCTTCACCTGCAAAAGCAATATAAAATGACTACTTCAGAGGTCTATTGTGTGGATTAAGAGGTTAACACATGAAAAATACCTAGCACAGTGAATTTTTGCGTATTACCTATACCCCTCCCTTGAGGGAATAAAGAACCTTTAAAAATAATATATATATTTTTTGTATCAGTCTTTTCAGAAACCCAAACATAAAGAATTTAACCCACAAAGAGTTCTCAAGTGGTTCCTAGACCAACAGCATCAACACAACTTGGATCTTGTTAGAAATGCCAGTCCTCAGGCTCCACCTCAGACCTAGTGAATTGGGGTGGGGGAGTAGGTGGCAGACTGGGACCAGGCAATCTGTATTTTAACAAGTCCTCCAGGTGATTTTCATGCACACTGAAATTGGAGAACCACTCCCATAACTAAGAGTCAACTGAGGTGGGTTGGAGGGTGGAGGTTGTGGTCATTTCTTCTGATTAAGTTGAAACCATTTTAAAAATTGAAAGAGAAAAGACCTCTTCCCAGGATGATTCCAAATGTTTTTCTCTTAAATTTCCAGATTCTACAAAACTGTTAAGACAACTCAAGGATAAGTAGATTCCTTAAGAACCTAGACCTCTATGTGCTTCCAGTTCTTAACATAGATGGTTACATCTACACTTGGACAACAGTGAGTACATCAAGTTTGGTCCTGGGATGACTTCATAAACTAGAACTTGACTCAGGCTCATATTTCTGACCTGTCATTGCAGTTATAAAATGTTTTGTGACTATGCAAAAAAAAAGGAACCCTGTTTGGAATAAAACTCAAACTAACATATTTAAGCCAATGATAAGTTCAGCACTGAAGAGGCCTTTTTAGAATTAAGTCCAGCACATTTTGTTTTATTTCATTTTGACATATTACCAGTTTTCCAGCCAGACTTAAGTTTTCTCCAGCTCCATCTCCTTAAAGTTTGTTGGTTGCCTGCTACCTGATCAGGATCATATTGGTATAAAATTCCTACATCACCCTGTGTCCACCCCGAGAAGCACAAGAGACACAAATGATGTATAAATACTAACCCCAGCCTTGATTTCTCATTGTGATCATTCACATAGGGGGCAAAGATCTCATAAAGCTTTTCATTTCGTAGACAACTTCCTCTTTAAAATGTTTCTAAAGCATATTATTCCACAAATAAGAGCCCCTGTTTCTAGAATATTCATTCCTCCCCTCCCCTAGCACTCCCCCCGTCAAGGCCCTTCATGGGACCCCTGTCTCTGCAACAGCCTTTGCCCAGCATGTGAACGCAGCCCCTCCCTCTGCGCTTGTCTGGTGAAACTTGTCTTTATCTTCAGCTCCACGCATCAGTCTTCTGCTTCCAGAGCTGTGCAGAGACCATCTCTGATACCCCGGGAACAGCCTTGTTCCATCTGCCGAGCTATTGCCCTTTCATCCTGTATCATTTGGACCTAAAAAATGATTCTCTGAAGATTTCCCTGATCACCTCCACCAAGCACTGCTAATCTGCTCATGAGGAAAAAGCTAAACTACTCCCTCCAGTGTGATGGTTTACAATGTTCCTGTTATTGGGGGTTGGTAGCCTATCTGGAAGACCAAAAATTACAAGTGCAAGCTTCATGATGTTAAAGGCAAGTTCTTCCAGTCAATCCTAGGAACGATTTTTCATATTTGAGGACTACCCATCATTACTAACACTGATTTATGAGTCTTTCGAATGGCAACAAACCTATGTTCCTCTGTACAGGATCGGCCTTGGAGGAGATCCTGTGTATCCCACAATAATGGCACATGTTTCCGGACAGATCTCAACCAAAATTTCAATGCATCCTGGTGTAGTGAGTATATGTTTAGTAGATAAAATGATGAACAGAAAAATGGAGAAGCCAGGAAAGAGGTGAATTACTAGAGATATAACTCTTAAAAATAAACATCTAATTTTATACAGCTTGCTGGGATTCCTGTCCTGTGTGTTCCCTCTAAAGGGAGGGTATTAAAAAGCAGCAAGATTCAACTACAGGACTCTCTTCAAGTGAGGCTGACTAAACTAGGGCAAGGAAGACCTAGACCAATGTGACTATGTTTGAAATCCATTGCTTTGTTTTGAAATATATGAATTATCATAAAGAGAAGAAAAAGCAGAGAACTATCCTTGCAGATTATTTCACTGCAGGAGGGCAGGTGTAAGCAAGGTCAACATTGTCTTCTCCTGAAGGCATTTTCATGTTTCTGAATCTCAACATCCCCAGTGAATTAGAAGTAAATAAAGAGTTAGGAATGGTTAAGAGCAGTCCAGTTAAAAACTAGGCAGCGAAGGTTGAAATTCAGACTTAGTGACTATGATCTTGGAAAAATTGCTTTATTTCCCTGTCTGAGTTTTCTCTTATTTAAAATGTAGCCCAGCCCAGCTGGGCGTGGCTCAGCAGTTGAGCATCAACCTAGGATCCAGGCGATCGGGGTTCGATTCCTGATCAGGGCACATGCCCGGGTTGAGGGCTCGATCAATGACTCTCTCATCATTGATGTTTCTATCTCTCTTTCTCCCTCTCCTTTCCTCCCTCTGAAATCAATAAAGATATATTAAAAATAAAATAAAATGTAGCCCATAGTAGTACCATCCTATAGGTAGGTTGTTATGGGGATTAAATGAGATGCCACATAGGACTTGCAAAATATCTCTAAAGAGACTCAAAGCAGTAAGATGATGAGAGAGAAACTTAGGCCAACAAGACTATGTCAGAGTCTGACCTTAGGAACCTGAGAACTGGTTCTCAACCATTTGGTTCATGGCCCACCACAAGTTTAAGTTAAAGATTACTGAAAATGCCATTCCAGTTTCCATCTTCCTTCCCAGCCCATGTAAGCATGGAATTGATTTCTAAACCCAAATTGTCAGCCCTTCAGCCTCTCTGACTTCCTCCTTGAATGATGATCCAACTTGACCCATTTAACCAGAACTAACGTAGAAAAGCAAGGTCAAGCCCTAAGTCCACGCACAGCTGCCCTGATCAGGATGACTCCTCACCCTCTGTCAGCTCTAAACTGAGATCACGATGCCTTCCTTGTGGTTCCCTGTATATTCCAGGTATTGGCTCACCTAAGGACTGCCACGGTTCAACATTCTGTGGGACGAGACCAGTGTCTGAACCTGAGACTAAAGCTGTTTCCAGTTTTATAGAGAGCAAGAAAGAGGACATGATATGCTTCCTGACCACGCATTCTTATGGGCAGCTCATTCTCACACCCTATGGCTACACCAAACCCCTCCCAGCAACCATGAAGAACTGGTAAGACTGGAGCACCAAAGGCTTTAGAGAAACCTAAGCAGGACCCCTGCTTCCCTTCCCCTGATTTCTGTTTCCTAGATTTTGGGCTCCAGCCCTTCTTTTGTTCTCTCTGTCCTTCCTTATTTTATTTCTCCTGCTTTTTACGCTTTGCCAGCTGCCTGCTGGGAAGGTTTCAGGTTAAATGCTGCTTTACCTACATTAATTAACTACCTGTTTCATAAAATGTCAAGTTGGGAGACATCTTAGGTATTCGTCTATAATATAAATGAGATGATTATGTTAATAATGTGCAGGAACGTGCTCTCATTTGGGTAAATTCTCTTGAAGCTCCGTTCAGCAATCATGGCTTTTGAACCGTGCTTTGCAGAACTTGCCAGCTGTTAGTGGAATACGGCGTATCTAAAATAACACGGCTAAATAATCTCTGTGCTCTTCTCTGCTAGACATGCTTTATTTTCTTCTAAACACTGCCTCTAGTATTTGCCTAGGAATATTTGTAAGGAAAAATGCCAGTGGAACCCAGGCCCAGGCAGGGAAAGGGAGCTTTGTCTCATCTGGGTCCCCTCTGAAGCTGTGTTTACCTGACCATCAGGGGGCAGAATTGCTGAAAAGGCCTCGGCTCTTTACCCTTTTGTGAACCTGAGAGCAACAGATGCAAGTCAAAGGGAGGGAAAATCTAGGATTGGAATATTTGTATCTATTTTTAAATTAAAAAATTTTTAAATTGTATTAAGATACATATAACGTAAAATTTACTATCTTAACCATTTTTAAGCAGACAGTTAAGATATTTACATTATTATGCAACCACTCTCTGAAACGTTTTTATCTTGCTAATTGATTCTCTATACCCATTAAACATCAATCCCTATCTCTTTGACCCTGGAAATCACCATTCTACTTTCTTTTTCTGTGAATTTGACTACTCTAGACACCTCATATCAGTGGAATCCTACAGTATCTGTCTTTTTTGTGACTGGTTTATTGCACTTAGCATAATGTTTATTCATGTTGTAGCATGTGTCAGGATTTCCTTCTTTTGAAGGCTGAGTAATATCGCATCGTACGGATACACCACATTTTCTTTGTCTACCTAGCTATCAGTGGGCATTTGAACTGTGTTCACCTTTTGGTTATTTCCAAAAATACTACTAAGAACACAGCTGTACAATATCTCCTGAGGTCCCACTTTCAGTTCTTTTGGGTATATAACCAGAAAGGGATGATCATGTGGCAATTCTATTTTTAATTTTTTGAGGCACCATCAGGCTGTTTTTGATAGCAGTCACACCATTTACCAGTCCCACCAACGGTGCGCAAGGGTTCCAATTTTCCACATTCTGACTACCACTTGTTATTTTATGCTTATCTTTTTAAAATTTTTTAAAACAAACTCTTCCTTATCAACAAATGCTGGGATGGATGGGGAATAAGCTTACTCTGTTCTTAAGATCACAGAGGCCTGGGCACCCATTGTTCTCTTACACACCCTGTCCCTCTCCCACTGGAGCATGACCCGTAACACATGTGTTTGGGCAGAAAAAGAAAAAATGCTAGAGAGTTTTGCTGAAGGAAGCCTTGTCCCCAGTAGTCAAAAATATTTTAAAGAAATATTTAGCAGTACCCCAATATCTTTCCTGCAATGTTTTTGGACATTTGTACTACGTGATCATTTTGCAACATGTGGAAATAACTCACGTTTGTCTTGGACTTTACAATTTACAAAGGGATTTTACAGCCATTATCTCATCTGACCCTCATGATAATATACTAAGCTCACTTTGGAGATATGGGGATTGAGACCTTGAATTAAGTTATATTCCTGGAGCTCCTATAGAAGGTGAATGGTGGAGCCAGGGCTGGAACTCATGTCTTCAGACTCCAGAGGCCACAGTCATCCTACCACCTCACACTGGTTCAGGAAGTGTTTAAGACTGCTAGGAATTGTAGCAATTTAGATTCTTATTCCACTGTGTTTCATTTCCCCCTCAATTCTTGGCCCTAGAATTCCATTTCTTCACTAAAGAAGTCTGCAGAAACAAGAGATTTCAGATGAGAAGCCCAGAACCCTCCTTATCCTTCAGTTTCTGTGATATTTGTCATGGATGTCTACTTTCTACTTTAGGGACCTGTGACAAATATAAATGAACCACCAAAGACAGGCTGTTATAAATCTGTGATGGGGCAGACCTTCCACTAGCAGAAAAAAGAGGCCTATGTACCCCAGTATATGTTCCAGCAAAACAGCTGCTATGTGAGCATTTTGCAAGGTTTGTTTAGAAAAGTTAGAGCCTTGTGCTGCTGATTGGCAGTCTGGTTAGAGCCCTCTGGCCACAGGCAAGAGGGGGCAAGAAGGCAGGAGGGCCCTGGGGCCTTGGCATCACCATTACTGGAAGGTAACTAACTCTAAGATGGGAATTACTGACAACCTTTTAGTACTACATGCAGAAATTGGCACACTGAATTGAGAAAGGTTCTTTAATTCTGTATCTCTTGCAGTTTCAGGTGAAGAGTTAGCATGAACATTCATCTCAAGAATTTTCAATAAGAAGGCAGTGTAAAAATTTCCCCACCTTGTCTCAACCTGATTGAAGTTAGCTAGCAGTAGTGTCAGGTTCTTATGGGTAGGCTTTGATGGAGTGCACAAAGACACAGGATCAAGCCAACTGCTCAAGGTGGTTTCCACTGCTTGTATTATTTACAGCTCCCGAGTCTGGTAATGATTCTCTATATATTTACAAAACCAAAAATGTGTAGAAATCATGATAAATATTATGCTGTGTGATAGACAACTTGGCAATCTCCATGTAGGGGAAACATGCTATATATAGCCCTGTTCTAAACTGCTCTGAAATTCGAATAGCTGTAAGAAGTCAGTGTTTTAGGTGCTGACATTTTTTCCATTTGAACCTTCCCATACCAACCATGTGTCCCACCCTCTCCTCCTGCACACTCGCCAGGGCCTGAATCAGCCACTTTTGAAGATGACAATAGTCCATTTCAGAGGTAATAAGACTGGTATAAACTGATGACACTGGAGATAGAACTTGGTAACTATTTGAAAAAAATGAGTCAAAGATGATTTTACATGTGTTTAGTGGAACATGATAAGCCAGAAATATGAAAATCCCTCACTTACTGGGTTTGAATGTGTTGAGGCTGAAGTACCAGCGGGTTCCCTAGGTATAGCTGTCCATTGGGAAGTGAGAAGGATGGTCTGGAACTCTCAACATGGGTTTGGACAAAATACCAAACCCTCTGGATTGTTGGGTTTATTTTTAACACCAGATATCTGTTTCTGCATTTCCCACCTCCAGATCCAAGTTGGACAGAAGGCAGCAAAAGCACTAAGAGCAAAGCATGGAACCAATTATAGAGTTGGAGCGAGTGCAGATATTTTATGTAAGTATCTCCTCCCCCCCTTCAGTAGTATCTAAAGCACAAAAGAAGTCAGTGGACTTTGGGGAGTGGGGTGGCTGGAAGAGGGAGAGAACAGTTCCTGGGATCAACAGGAAGTTTTACAAATCAAAATGACCCAAGATAAAAGGGAGTCTGTACAAATCCAGAATTATGTTCTCTGGGGATAAGGCGTGAGCATAAAGAAAAAAATAATACACTGGCTAAGACCAGAACTCCCTCTGGTTTCAGTTAAAAAGAGCTGGTAGGGATTCTGCACAGGAGTTAACAGGAAGGATGTTTTCCAGCGATTCTTGGTCAGTTGATTCACTTCCCAGAGAACCCATTAGGCTAAGAGAGCAGGTGGGGCCTGGAGAAAAGATATTTTAAAAAAGAAAGAATTTAGTTGAAAGAAGTACGCACTGCTTTTCCCCACCACCAACCATCACTTTTTCCACCCACCAGAGGACCACCTAGATAACATTTGCATAGTAGTTTTTCTGGTGGTCATTTTGTTTCTGTTCCTTCATATGCCAGTTTACTCATGTCTTAAAATATTAGGTTGTCCAGTCTTTGATTCAGCTGAGAAACTTTAACCAAACTTCTGCTATGCATAATCTTAGGTGCTGTGGATGGTGGTGGGGGAGAGACAGAGAAGCCAAACAAGATTCATTCCTGCCCTACCGGGGCTTAGTATCAAGGAGGGGGAGAGGACAGCTACTCATGAGACCCTCACATGAAGTTGTTTATTTTTCAGGATTGAACCTTTGTACCCGAAATGGCTTATAGAAATCTGTGCTTTCACTCTACAATTTCTCATTCTGTCTTTATGGTTTCATTTGTAGATGCCATGTCAGGGACTTCAAGAGACTGGGCTCGGGACATTGGGATCCCCTTCTCATACACATCTGAGCTGAGGGACAATGGTACATATGAATTTGTTCTGCCAGCAGCTCAGATTCAGGCCACCCGAGGAGACCATGGAGGCGGAGCTTTCCATCTTGGATGATGCGTATGAGAAATCCTGGCCCTCAAACAGTGCTGGAAAGGTGGCATCTGCCACTGTGGTGCTGAGCCTGCTGATATCTTTCAGGTCTCTTTTCTAAGAACATAGCACCCAGGCTTACTCAGCCCTGGTGCCATGATGTGGCTGCTGAGAAGGTGTTTTGGTCACAGAAGGCCATAATCATCAAGAACACAAGTAAATAAGTGAAATATTACAGCTTGTGACAGGTGCTATGAGAGAAATAATGAGTAGTTAAAGAGGTAAACAAGGGCCAGGCTGTATGTTTATGGGTATGCCGGCATTTAACTGTGCTATCTTGTCTATGAAACTGCATGTGCCCTTGAGGTAGCATCTATGACTGTCATTTCCTAAGTGTCCTCATGTGACACCTTGAAATGGTGCTAAGCACTTGTTAGGCTTTGACTGACAGGGCACCCTTGGGTGTTCAGTCACCCATCTCCAAATTTCCTTGTTGGCCACAGTCACAATATACTTCTTGGTTGTAACCCTCTTATTGTGTTCATCTTTTTTTTTTTTTTTTTATACTGTATATCTTTATTGATTTCAGAGAGAGGAAGGGAGAGAGAGAGAGAGAGAAACATCAATGATGACTTCACTGCTTTTATATAGCAAGTCCTGACCGGTAATCAAACTCCGATCTCCTGGATCCTAGGTCGATGCTCAACTGCTGAGCCATGCCTCGCCAGGCTCCTTTGTCTTTTTTATTTCTTCAAATTTTGTCCCACTGTGGCTGATGAGGGTCAGAAAGGAAAATGTCAGGGGCAATGAAGCTTAATGAATCAGAGAACAGCTATTTACATAAAAATGCCAATTCCACAACTATAGCATTGTCAGGAAAAAATGTCTGGGTTTCATCAATGGCCCACCTAGGAGGGAAGAAAAGTAGTGTGGCCACCAGTGTCATATTGAAGAACAAAGCAGGGGAGCTGTGCCTAGAGATTCAGGTTATGAGCTTTAATCTAGCCTGTGTTTTAGTTTCTAAGACTCTCTTAACAATTTGACCTCTGAGGATTACAAGAGTTCTGATTTACAAAGCTTAATTCATGTCTAAAGATTGAGCCCATGGCCAAATAAAGTTGGAAGGGAACAGATGGAAACGCAAGTGATCAGCTTACCTAAAACTTCTCACATGGATACTTCCAAGAGTCTAGGACACATCATAACTTTCTTGAGGGACTGCACATGGTTCTAGGTATGGGAGGCTAAGGACCATGCCATCCTTTTTACTTCCTGTGAAAGGATCCTAAGAGCAAAAATAGATAGGTGATGAATGACCATGCTGATCTTTCTTAAGGATGTTTTCAACTTTCTGGCCTTAAATAGCAATGGTTTGGGAAAATTTCACAGCTGATCCAAGTAACACAGTCTTGAGAGAATTCAGTGTTGTGGCTTTTTGAGGTCTGAGATTTGACTTACCCTACTTTAAAGCTAAGAAGTTAGCTTGTTGCTGTTTCATGGTTGTTAGAAGACATGAGACTCCTGAGTCAAAGGACATAAAAAATTAGTCATAGCCCAGTAAGCAGCCTGAGCATCAGTATATTTATATTGGTTCCCCTTGCTCCCAAGTTCCAAGTGGGTGATGCAAAGAGCCCAGATAATGCCTGCAAATGCAGTGAATTATGTTACTGGAGAAAAACACTGAGCTCAAGGTCTTCACTGCTTTTATAGCAAGCAGTAAGCAAGCCTGATCTTTATTCTGCAAGAAGACATTTCCTCATCACTCATGGTTTCTTCCTTGCTGCAAACACAACTCTGAGAAATGGGCCAGGTTAAGAGTGGTCAGGGTCTTGCATTCTCAGCATTGCCAGCAAGATGTGTAAGAGCAAGAGAGGCCCATAAAAGGCTGTCTCCCAACAAGCTTTATGGATTAGGCTGAATCAGATGAAATTGCTATTTTCATAGGACAAAAATGTCTAAGTATTGGTAATTTTATATGGTTCAACATAATATTATCTCAGTGCTAATAAAGGTGTATCCATGATGTCTTTAAATTTTTAGGAAGTTTGAATATAATGCATTTTCTATTACTATTTCTTTCCTTCCACCAAACTCTGCCATTGCTTTTCCCCCCACAACTATTCCTATAAAAGATCTTGATCTTCTTGACTTACAGGTAAAGTTAGAGTTTAAAATGATAAATTCAAGTGGTATCCAAGCTTCTAGGTCTAATTTTTTTCTACATTAGTGTCAAAATGAGTTATATTTTTGTTCCCACTATGTATGACCAAGCTCCTGCTTCCTTTCCCTTTCTTATGCAGCTTACCAGTCTCCTGATATGTTACTGAAAATATATTCTTCATATCACCCCATATAATTTGAATCAGGGATAAATTTACTGTGGCAATAAAAGAAGCCCACTGCCTAAATATTAAAACTGTGATACTAAGCACAAAGGAGTTTTAAAAACCCTAAAATTAGTCATTATTCATTTTCATTACTATAAGCAGTGATCAAAATTCTTCATGTGTGTTACCTTGTGTAATAGTCATAAGAATCCTGAGTTAGATACTTTTATTTATTTGATGAAGAAGCTGAAACAAAGAGAAGATGAGTAGCATGCCCATGGTCACTTTGTTCTTCATAATTACTGATTGGTCAACTGATTTCTTGGGAGAGGAATTTTCTGGCTCTAGGATGTCAGAAATACTGTTCAGTGGCCACTGTCAGTGCTTCGTCCAGATCCCTCAGGCCCATTCTCCTGCATCTCTCTCTGTCCCTGATGTCTTCAGCCTCCAACAGCTCACACATATGGGACTCTTTTCCTAATGACTGCCCTTGGCCTACTGCATATACCTTGCCTGCAGCCACAGGGAGCTAGACGTGTATGGAAGTTATACCCACCACCAGAAACCCTCACTGTCTGGATGGTAACTGATGGCTCCAGGGGTATGAGAGCCCAGTCCCCTTTCAATGAGTTGGGGAAAACTTCAAGGTGTAACTCATGTTTCAGAGATCCTGTGGGATACGGTTGAAGTTGCCCCCCAAAGAACTTTCTTTGAGGTTACACCCATGTGTGGCTTCCTCCCTTTCCCTGTCCCTGGGCCCCCACTCCCTTATCAGTTTCTCTTGGGAGCAGCTCCTGAATAAACCACTTGTACATGAATCCTCACTTCTGCGTCTATCTCTGGGGAACCCAGTAGAAGACAACCCCTTGGGAGTTTTTTACAAAACATAGTACTTAGGAAATTCTGAATTTCTTAAAATGATCTTTCATAAAAGTATTATTAGTATTTACTCTTCAGAATATGTCCAGGGATTACAATACCATATGGACAGAAATATTCTTTCTTTGAAGATGTTATCATTCTAGAACATGAGGTCTTTTGTTCCAGACAAGACTTTAACTTCAGAAAAACATATACATTTCCAGTTTGGTTTTACTGAAACACAATAAAAAAAGATGAGTCTTTATGGACTTGTAAATTTTTGAAGTATTTGGTGTTAAGATAAAAATATGAGAAAACAATGGCCACTTGTAACAGCTTTCCACTCTTCTGTAATCAAGACTGCATAGTCTTGCCCGGCCAGTGTACTCAGGGGTTGAGCACTGACCCATGAACCAGGAGGTGATGCTTAGATTCCCAGTCAGAGCACATGCCAGGGTTTTGGGCTCTATCCCAGTGGGGGACGCGTAGGAGGCAGCCGATTGATGACTCTCTCATCACTGAGGTTTCTATCTCTCTCTCTCCCTCTCCCTTCCTCTCTCTGAAATCAATGAAAACATATTTTTAAAAAAGACCGCAACTGCATAGTCTTTTCTTAGCTACCCTGAAAAATGAATTATATTTCTCTATAAGGAGTCATTTATTAAATAATAATAATAATAATAATAATAATAATATAAAGCTCCAAAGATCTTAACTGGAGAGTGAATTCACTGCTTTCCTACCTGTGTGTTCCTTTCCCATGGACCTTTTATGTGTGTTTTTTTCTGAGAATGTTTTCTTTTTAAAGATGCATTTGTGTAACTCAACTCTAAAATAATGATGCAAATTAAAGGTGACAAGGGTCCTTTCTCTTTACAGAGGTAATGCAAAAGCAACCACAGATACACAGAGGAGGCAAAGAACAATGTGTATTCATGGGCTGGACTCAAAAAACAAAAGCCCGTTGCCTACGTGGAGGATCCTGAGAAGGTGAGGTAGAAAGTCGAGTCGGAATTAGGTGATTGAAGGTCCTGAATATCCGATGGGAGTTTAGACATTATCTATGTAGGCGGCAGGGGGAACTGTGCTTTTGTGTAGGGAGATACATCATACATTGTGTAACGATTAGATTGGAAAGATGAATTAGAATTAGGCAGTCAGAGGGAAGAAGTCTGAGGCAGAGTTCAGAAAATATACTTCAATTGAACGTATAAATTAAGACTTGAGTTGGTGACCATGAAAATGGAAACAAAGGGGGAGAAATTGTAGATGTTTATAAAGAGTCAATGTGAGGTCTATTTGAATATAATGTTAAAAAAGGAGGGTCGATATTGTTGACCAGCTGGTTAGAAGAATTGCATTTACTAGAGCATGAGAATTTGCCTTAAGTCATCTCTCTTTCACCTCTACCTAGAAAGGTATAATAGACCAAGCTGAAAATGCACTTACAGATCCCTGGAGCCAGGAGGGGAGCGGTATGAGAAAATGAGGAGCCATTTAGTTTCACACAGAAAGTAGGAAATGCAAAATTGTCACGTTGAAACTTAGGGTTTGTTTTCTGACTTTAAATCAGGTCTCTAGTCACAAGGAACCTTCATTTCAATCTCATGTTTCAAAATACCGTTCAATATGGAGATTTGGTAAAGCTTTAAAGGAGTTAAAAAATATAATACCCACCTCTTTTTTCTGCACATATGCTAATTTACTCTATGCCATTTATTTTATAATTAGGTTGGCAAGTCTATCACTTTAAAGGTTGACTACTTTCTGCAATGCAGTTGCTTAAAAGATTTGTTTTGCAGCAGAATTCTTATTTCAAATAAAAATTTTCCTTCAAGTATGATATGTAAATCAGATAAAAACAGAATTACTCCTGACCTGGGGAGAAGACATGGATCATGGGTCTGGAGATGCTCCTCCAGCCCCCACCCAA